AGCAGGAGAAACTGAAAAGATAATCATGAAATATTTGTAAGCCATCAACTTCTTCCCCCGAGTGGTGCTGCTGTAGTTGGTAGGTGCAAGAAGTGTACTGATGGGCTTGAAGAGGTGTAGACACAATCTCTTAAGGGCTGCATAACGACCTTGACATGTTTTGAAACATCATGTGCTCATGTGCTAGCGGACAGTCCATTTATACCTCTGATCTGTTTATGAAATATTTTGAGTCAAAAATGCTACACACATCTCATAGTGAAATCTGAGGAAGTTGTGTCTTCATTCCTGAGTGGGCTTTGAGAAAAAGGCAGGATCCTAATTGGAGTAAACAAAAAATGCTCTCTTGCCTTCACTTTCCCCAAGCTGATTTGCACCGATAAGGTTGGAGGCTCAGAGGGCATTTTCAGGCATTCACACAGTTAACTTCCAGAAATGACCAATGTGAAGTCCAAACCATTCGTGTTTGTTTTTCAGTGTATTTCAGGTCAGTCATCACAGAACAAGCAGCTCAGTGTCTAAAATAATTCAAACCTCATCTGTAGACACACACACCGTTCTAACCATCATACTCGCCTCTCTGTGTTTTGTAGCTGTACTTAGACATTAGTTGGTTGCTAAAATATTAATTGGCATAAGTCTCCTTTCTGAAGTATTAAAATCGGTGCAATTGGAACTGCTTTAGAAGTATGTTCATATAAACTCTTTTCTGTGTGTTTCACTTTGTTGAGGGTATTTTTCCTGGCTGTTTTAGAGGAGCAACCTACCTTTTACTTACCCTTTTCCAGCTGCTGCTTTGCTTTGGTCATCTTTTACCCTCAGTGCTTATTAACCTCTAATCCTGCCCTGCATTGCATCTGTCTATTCTCCCAGATCCAGAATCTAAGGAAAGAGAAGTTACCCGTCGCTTTTCCCTAGCCTCCTCCATCAGCACCTCAGTTAATGCTTCTGCTGTGACCAAAGGTACCGTCACGCTGCTTGCTTTCTGCTGACTGATACATTTACAGCCAAATGCTGTTCACAGAGTGAGTACATCAGGCTCAGTTTTTATAAATGCAGGAGGTTCCAGTAGAAGAAGAGTCAGGAGCAGTGTAACACCTTCAGGGAGGCAGGCAAAGGCATTTTGAATGCATATCAAGGTGTGCTGCCAGCATATATAATGACTCTTCTCACTTTCTCTGTAATAGGCTTCAAAGAATGGTGCTGGTTTCCGTGGAAACTGGATTAATTTTTGGCTGATGTGGCTAATTCAAACCAATTTCTCCCTGGTTTGAATTAACTGAAATTCAGTAGAAATTATTTCTACTTTTCCTTAAAGCTGTTTAGGATTTTTGCTTTCAAGAAGGAGAGAGTCTCCTCATTGTGTAAGCAGACATCAGATGGTAAGAAAGTCTGAAATCAAGCCAAAAATGGAGTAGCAATAGATGCCAGTTTTAAGAGTATTTAGCATAACCACAGTTTTGATTAGAAATTATGATTGCAAGGAAATTTTCAGACATGTGTAAGGGAGCTAGGTGCCCAGAATGCACTGAACTCTATGCAGTTCATGTGGGATCTTACGGAAGTTTTATTTCTGAGCTGTAATTATTTTGAGAAAAGGCATGTTTACAAAATTCACTTTAAGTTATTGCATTAATGTGTACATTAAACTCAAAAGCAACTCATGCATTTGGGCAAGCTGGTTGTATTGAAAATCAGTAGGATTGTAGGTACCTATGCCTACATGTCAGAGTTACTTTTGAAACCAGAACATATAGTCTTACACTGAATTCTGAATATATTGTCTTTTTGTAGTTCCTGGAATGGAGGAACTGATTTGCAAGTTTAAGGTTTGTGGGGCAATTCACAAACCAAAATAGAAGGAAAAATGGCTGAATTCATTTGTATAAAAATCTTCGCTATTTGTCAGGAAGAAGGTTGCACAGTACTTGATGTAGTGCAATCTGAATAGTTGTGAAGGGTATGAGCCATATCCTTGATTGTGCAATGAAGCAACAAGTATCTGAAATTACTTACTTCCAGGGTGTTATGCAGTAAGAGCATGGTGGGGTTTATTGGCAGAGGAAGGATGTGATATTACTGCTACCTACAATGTTCCTTCGCCAACCTTTTTCGATCATAACACTACCATATTGCCACATGGAAATGATGGGCATAGCACAGGAGAAGAGGTTCTTGTAGCTTTCTGTCCTTGGCAACAGCTTCAGAAACACATGATCGGTTACTAGGTTATGGGAAGACTGAATTATTTCCTAATATTTATTTCCCAAGCTGGGGGACAGAAAGAAGCATGTATGTAGAAAGAGAATGGGCATCCAAGGGTCGTTCTTTAGTGTGGTTTATCAAAGAGAGCATGTGTGAATTGCAGTGAAATTCAAACTTTATTACAGTTTCACATTAAAAAATCGTGTCCTAGGATCCTGTCTACCACAAGACCATCGGCAATTTTTTGCAATGCTGAGAAAACTACTTTTGTAATGATTTTAAAAGCTAGAAAACAAAATCAGTGCTTTTCAGTTAAGTGTTTTATTTCCAGCATCTGCTTTAAGAAAATATTTCACATGACAGAAGAACTGAAGTCTGAGTCTTGTCTCAGCATTAGCCAGATGCAGGTCGAGCCAGGGTGTTTGGATCATCTCATTCACGACTACTGCATACTGCTGTGTGCTGGTCCTCACTGCTAACAGCTCAGCTCTGTCACATCACCGGTCCTCCACATGTGGAGTCAGGACACAGGAGAAGCGCAGTACGTGGACCTGTGACGGATGCCCTCCACTTCTGTGGGGCATAAGTGTTGGCTTTTGTGGGCTCTTCCCTGCCAGACTCCGGGGTAGAAAGCTGAGATTGTGAGTCTGCCTGCGTTAGTGCCATCTCCTGGACAAGCATGAGAAGAAAACATCTGTGAAACCTGATGGGAAGCAGATATATTTATTGTCTTACTGTCTTTTGCAAAAAGGAATCTGTTTCCTATCCACATCACAGAATTGTTTATCTTCACCACCTAGAATTTAGGGGTTGGTCTTTTTTCTGCATGAAATTAAAAGTATTAGGCAGGTAGTGTTTCCAGGTAATGGGAAAGCAAGTTTCTCCTTTAACAGTATTTACAGCCTTGTGACTCTGCAAACTTCACACAGGTCCCCTTGTTCCTGCAGTTAAAGTCAAGAGACATGAAATAAAGAGTGACCCAACTCCCCTGGGGTTTGAAGGTATGAGTATTTCCATCCTGCATGAAAACCTGTTCGGCAATCTTTTGATATTATTCACTGAATTCACATCTCATCCCTGCTGGTAGACGACACTGGAATCAATTAGGGGTTTGATGTCAGTTTATCTGTTTAACTGTGATAAACACAGCTTGTCACCCCCTTGCCTGTCCCCTGCACTCATGTTATATTTACCAGCTTTCACCTAGGGATGGGCCTAAATGAAAATCCCAATTCTCTGCCTGATTTGGGAATTAATGTTCTAGACTGTGATCTGGATCTGGATTTTCTGCCTGGCTTCTACCTCACTCCGTAGAGTGCAGCAGCAGGGAGACAAGGGGCTAATTTTCACCTTCACCTGCAGTCTGGCCGCTTGCATCCCTCTTCCCTTGTTAGTGTCTACACCTAATAAGAGGATCAGGAGCCGTGTGCATGGAGACTGCAGAAGAGGCTAGACTGTGCATTAATATCCATTTAAGGTGCAGTGTTTCATTTCAGCCAAGCAGAATTTCCACCTATTTTTTGCAGCAGATTCATCAGTTACTGTTTAATAAACAATACCAAAGAGTTAAACTGGGAAGTTATTCCCCAGCCACTGGGAGATCACCAGCTTCCATTGTCAGCTTTTCCCTTTACATGAGGATTTGCCAGAGAATTGGTGACATATCGGAGCTATCATCTCCTATGTCACTCCCAGTGGACGAGGACACTGGAAGAGGGGGGTTGGAAGAAACAGTTCAGAGGCAGCAGAGGAAGTAATGGTTTTGCTGTTTGCAGAATATTTCCTCTTGCCAGTGACGCCTCGCACCAGAGTTTCCCAAACTGTGGTGTTTATACCTCACTTTCCTCAATGTCAGATACTTCTGATCTCAGCATACCATGTGGCTGCAGAGGCAGAAATAGAACACTGCACTGTTCACCCAGCAATCGTTTTCCTTAATTAACATCAATATTTCTGTTTGATTCATTTGGCTGTTCTCTTCTCAGACTTACAGTTTTTCTGTGGAATGCTGCTGTCTTTTCACTCATTTGTGCTGGTCATGTGTCTCTTCTTTTATAACTGTTGGACCCCAGTCCACCTGTTTGTTAAAGAGACCACCAGTTGCAGAGGTGATACAGGAATTCACTTTGTACTGGTTGTCTGGTCACTGTTTCACCTTGAAGACACAAAATTATACTTCCTGTCACAGATGCTTTTGAGAACACCATATTGGCCCAGACTAAATGTAATACCAGTTCCACCACGAGACCCGTACCTAGATCTGCTTCACAGACAGGTAAACAAAATTAAAACATTTTTCATCTCAATTTGAGAGTGTGATATAGATTTATGATAATATTTACTTTCTTTTACTTTAAGAGATTTTTCTCTTTTAATGAATATTATTTCACGTGAAAACAATGAAAGAACAAGCTCAGAACACTAGCAGGTATAGACACAATATCCCAGATTCTGGTTTTCTGTTGGTCAGGCACAGCTGAAAATAATTCTTTTAATTGATGTCAGAGAATTTGATCTGTGTTATTTTATAGCTTGAATCAAGTATGTGAAACTTAGACTATTTCTTAGCTGAATTTCTTCTCTGAAATTAGAATAGCAATTTGTATGGAAGAGGAAGGCTGATGCATGTATTTGTAAGGAATCCTTGCTGTTTAGATTTCTGCCTTGGATGCTTCCTACAAATGACAGTAGCAAAAGATCACTGAAGCTTTGTCTAAGTGGGAAAGGAGATACTTTTTTCTTTTGGTAGCCCAACCTGTGAATTTGAATTCAAATTGCTATAGCAGTTTAAAACTAATTAGCATCAATATGTTCCTGTACATTTAGACAGTTGCTAGTATTTTGCTGGTGTGATTCACCTGATACAGAATATGAGGTCCAGTTCCATACGCTGCATGGTCTGTAACTGAAATTGTCTCTACTGTCTCAAAACTCGTTGGTATAGACCTTGGCAGGGACACTCACAACGCAGCACATGAATGTCATTTCAGAGGCTAGTTTACACCTTGAAAAGTATGGATGACCTACCCATACCTGTAGGGTTATAACTGGGGATGCTGCTCTGGTGGAAGAACTTCATTGTCTCTCATGTAACTGCATTGCAGTGGTTGGGGCAGTCACAGCACCGACGTAACAGGAGGGAGGAGAAGGGGCTGCAGAGCTGCACGACAGCGCTGCACCAACCAGTGCCTGTAGCAGGGAGGATGTGCATGGGGAGGGATTAAATAAATCAATTAATAAACCTATTTCTCCCAGATCAGATCACTTTTATGTTTATTCCCTGAACTGCCTGGCTTGGGTTTTGTATTGTCTCAGGCCAGGTTTTGTTTTGCATTGTGAATGCTGGGTTATGCATAATCCCACTGTATGAACATCTGGCTCTGTGCCTTGTTGTCAGAGCACTGCTTTGCCTTAATGAGAGCAATGGCCCACAGGCTGTAAAGAGCTTGATTCAGCATCTGCTCAGCCCAAGTCCCTGTGATTCAGCTAATGCACAGCAGGTACACTAAGCAGGAAGGCACGAGGTGATTTGACCGACTCCATTCAGCTTGCATCCGTGTGGGCTGTAGCATGCCTTGGTAGATGCAAGGTCTATTTCCTCCTAGCAGGATTGTAGTCACCCCCGTCAGAAAAGGGACAGGCATCAAGTGCGAAGGAAAGTGTAGAGCTAGATTGCCCTCTGTACAGGAGAGGCCAAGTTACCTTTCCATCATGGGAGCCTCAGGTAGGCAGGGCTAATAAGGCTCACTCTGAATTTCCCTCAGGACACATCCTCTGGGAATTGACTGTTGTGCTTGGGCTGGAAATCTCCCATTAGGTGTTTTCCAGTGGGCTGGGATGTTTTTGGGTGCAAATCGTGCAATAAAACTGCTAACAGCAGAAATATGAATGAGATCTTCTCTCCCTATCACCAAAGGTCTGGTTGTCTCTGTGCCTTGTTGTTTACCTTACTTTGTCCCTTTCTGGCACCTCCAACCTGCTCCAGGTTATAGTCGTGCAAGTTGCTGCAGTAGTAATATCACCTTAGGGTAAGGTGGAGATAAGTCATCAACCAAAATGCAATGGCTTCGGACTTCAATTCATAGATAAATGTGTGGAGGTAAGCTGGAAACCGAACGAGCATGGCCTTCTGAAAATCATGTCAGCAAAAGTTATCATTTGCTACAGCGCTTGGTCTGCATAAATATTCCTGGCCTTTGTTTTTTGTTCCTCCTGAACTGAAGACATTTAGCAATGCTAAACAGTCAAGGTATTGATGGACATGCACACCATGGCCACGCAATCTGGCCTCCCACAAATGACAGTAGGTGGAACAGGTTTTTAGAGAGAGAATAATGGCTGCAACATAATTTTTACGGCAAAATCAGGCAACAAGCTGTAAAAAGGCACAAGCAATTCAGTAAGTGGAATAGTGGGAGGTGAACCTGTGACATTTATTTTTAAAAGACCGAGTCTGAAAGAGGCTAATGACTGATAGCTAACTCTTTATCTCCTTTGAAAAGGTTGGCCCAGCAGGCAAATGCCATCTCTAGACACATTTGAAGATTTTGAAGCCATCCCCTCCAGCACAGACGAACTCTCCAACTCTTCTGACTTGGAGGAAGAGACCAACACTAACAATGTAATTCCTTTTTCAAATTACTCTGCCTTTTCCCACTGCAACCACCTCTTCTTTAAAGATCATGATTTAACCTGCAAAGTTGGGGTTTGTACCATCCTTAAGTTCATGGATGTGTGGGAAGACAGAAGATGGGAATTTTATCTGGGATGTTGAGGTACTATTCCAAAACTATTTTGTTGATCAGGATCAGGACCATAAAAAGTCACCCCTACTTGTAAGCTGTAGCTTTACCTGTATGGGTAAGTTACGAAAGTGGGGGGAAACTCTGAGCCTTTAAAAAAGTAATTTCAGACTTTTCCAGATAACTTAACCTGGTGTCACAAACCCAATTTCCATCTCAGAATAATGGCTGGCTTGTTAATTCTAAAGCCTGAATGCACAGCACAGTTTTGTCCTAAGTTCGAAAAATATTTAACCTGGGCATGATAAAAGGAATAAAAAGTGACGCAATTTCCTACAGAAGAAATCTCTTCCAGCCTGAAATGCCTAATTCAGTATTTAACTAAACTCACTCTCTTTTGCAGAGTGTTCTTTCATGCATAGTGACTATTTCTGGTATATTGTTTCATTCATTCCAGGGGACCAATCTTTTCCGGGTAGAAGGCAGTTTTGACAGCTGTTTCCCAGATTCTCTTACACTTGAGGATGGAGATTTAGTGCAGTTTGTGCAGGAAGGAGAAAACGGTCAATGGTAAGTACAGCAGAGAGACAGAATTTGATAAGTAGAACAGCCATAACGGAAAAAATGGAAAATGTTCAGAATAATGTCAAAGCATCTTCAAAATCCATCCAAATCCAGTCACCCTCTTGACCACAATGTGAAAGAGGCAGTGGGAGGCATGAACATAGAAACATCTTTGGTTAATTGCACCTGGTTGTCTTTCATCCCAAATGCTTGTGACATGAGGCTTAAGAGGACAGAAGTTTGCATAAAGGAAACAGAGGGGAATATTTTGGCTTTTGACACCTTCTAGACGGAAGGACAATTGTCAAAGACAATCCCCATAGGAAACATCAATAAAATCCCCATGCCTTCCACCAAGCTGCAGCAGTGAACCAGAGAGCATTTTAAGGCCCAAAGGCTTAGATAGAAGATGTGATTGACAAAGTGGAATGAATCTGTCCCCCTTGAGCTCACATATGTTTCCGTGTGCGTATTCTCTCTTGCTGACAAGTGAGGGTTAGGAACAGAGTTGGCTGAGCATCTGAATTCTCTTCCCATGGGTAATTTGCAGGAAAATTTGATCTCCTTGAAGCGCCCGTGCAGTCAGACCCTTCACTCAGAACTGACATGCAACTGAGATGGGAGCAAGTCCTATAGGGTGAGGTAGCCAGGAAGTGAACTAAAACCAGCCACCCTGGATGACACTTCATAGAATCATTTAGGTTGGAAAATACCTTTAAGATCATCAAGTCCAACCGTTAACCTAGCGCTGCCAAGTCCACCACTAAACCATGTCCCTAAGCAGCACATCTACACATCTTTTAAAAACCTCCTGGGGTGGTGACTCAACCACTTCCCTGGGCAGCCTGTTCCAATGCTTGACAACTCTTTTGGTGAAGAAATTCTTCCTAATACCCAATCTAAAACTCGCATGGTGCAACTTGAGGCCGTTTCCTCTTGTCCTATTGCTTGTTAATTGGGAGAAGAGGCTAACACCCACCTCGCTACAACTTCCTTTCAGGTAGTTGTAGAGAACAATAAGGTCTCCACTCAGCCTCCTTTTCTTTAGGCTAAACAACCCCAGTTCCCTCAGCCACTCCTCATGAGACACGTGCTCTTGACCCTTCACCAGCTTCGTTGCCCTTCTTTGGACACGCTTCAGCAACTCAGCACTCTTCTTGTAGTGAGGGGCCCAAAACTGAACACAGTATTCGAGGTGCAGCCTCATCAGTGCTGAGTACAGGGGCACAATCACTTCCCTAGTCCTGCTGGCCACACTATTTCTGCTACAAACCAGGATGCTATGGGCCTTCTTGGCCACCTGGGCACACTGGTGGCTCATATTCAGCCGGCTGTTGACCAACTGTCCTTTTCTGCTGGGTAATTTTCCAGCCACTCTTCCCCAAGCCTATAGCATTGCATGGGGTTGTTGTGACCCAAGTGCAGCACCCGGCACTTAGCCTTGTTGAATCTCATACAACTGGCTTTGGACCATTGATCCAGCCTGTCCAGATCCCTCTGTAGAGCCTTCCTACCCTCTTCCTACCTAGCAGATCAAGACTCCCGCCCAACTTGGTGTTGTCTGCAAACTTACTGAGGGTGCACTTGATCCCCTCATCCAGATTGTTGATAAAGTTATTAAACAGAACTGAGTCCTGGGGAACAGCACTTGTGACCGGCTGCTAACTGGATTTAACTCCATTCACCACAACTCTTTGGGCCCGGCCATCCAGCCAGTTTTTTACTCTGGAAAGAGCACGCCTGTCCAAGCCATGAGCAGCCAGTTTCTCCAGGAAAATGCTGTGGGAAACAGTATCAGAGACTTTACTAACATCTAGGCAGACAACATCCGCAGCCTTTCCTCATCCACTAAGTAGGTCACCTTTTCGTATTTACAGCAAGGGGGATGGACAACATGAAAGATTCAGTTTCTTCAGCTCTGAATTTGGCCCAGCATCTCAAACACAGGCCAAGGCCACTGCTTCCTTGCCACACAGTCTGTTTGCAGGTGATCTTATTCTGGGATACTGGGTCACCATCTGACACTGCTGAAACGTAGTCACTGGCTACCTGTAAGACTTCCCTGGGTCCTCTGCCTTTTTCCTTAAAAAAATACCTGCCCAGCATACACCTCTAAGAAACACAAGCCAGGGAAAGGAAAAGTAGGGATATTCACTGACTCTTCTCTGAATTTCAGGTTAGTGAAGAAACTGGTCTCTGAGAAAAGCGACTGGGTTCCTTCCAGTATATTGCAGCCAGCAGAGGGGGACAGTAACAACATAATTAAGAACAGCAATGCAGGTAATAGAGGAAATGTATTACTGGCATTTATTTTTTTTTCATCCTAAAAAAGGGTGTGATAAAAAGGATGTTACAAACAGTGCACTTTCTCTATTAAAGTACTCAGCCTGAGTGTATATCTGTGCTACAGTCTCTGGTGTGATGCAGCTGAGCTAGCCTGAAATTTGGTGCCTTACCTGTCAGAGCTCGTTAGGCATAGCAGCTTACCTTGGCATGGTTTAATTGTTTTCGCCTTCCCAGACAGGATTTGAATCTCCCACCAAACTTCTGTGGCTACCAGTACGCAGGCTGGCTACTTTACAGCTAGCCCAAATGTGTCATATGGCAAGGTGTGTTGTAACTGCAGGATAGCTTTCATCCTGACAGAGGTAATGTTTGGATTTAGATCAGCATCAGGGCTGTGGTTCTGGTCTAGGTTTGAAAACATTAAAATTTCATGAACCATTACTGCTTTCATCATATTTCACTGCTGGCTCCAAAGGCTGGAGGAAGGGCTGCTCTGGCGAGATTTCAGCCAAATCAGCACTAAAAGTCGTCCTTTCTTCAGCTTTGGTTCTGACCTAACACCTAAACAGGTTGCACTGGAAAAGCTGAATCTCAGCAACTCTGCAGATCAAAGGTTTACAATTTTAGATTAATTTTTGCCCATCCTTAAAGATAATTTACCAAAATATGTCCTGCTTTTCTTCTGGTAACAGAAGAAAGCAAAATCTGGCACAGCCATTCCCTGGGACCTGCAACAGAGAGCTACCAGCATTTTATTCTGAGTTACTGGTTTCTTTTGAAAAAAATTTTTTTTTTGGTCAGTTTGTAAAAGTGGAGAAAACTCTTTTTGAAAGTTAACCGGGATTCTTTGCTGTGGTTTAAAGCAAGTTTGGTAATTGCCGCTCCTTCACCTCCACCAGGTCAGTTCTGTTTTCACCCTCAGTGCCTAACTATGGCTCTCATTTCTTTGGCATGTCTAATGCTTCAAAAGAAAAATAAAACCACACACATCACAGTTAGTTACATGCCAAAAGAGCCTCCCTTGCCTTTAATGAAGGAATTAGGAGAGCGGTAGAATTGTGATTATTTATTTTTTATTTTATTTCAGGCTTTTATCAATGAACCTCAAGACTGTAGATGGGAAATCCTTTAGACGTGTTGTAGTGACAATGCCCATGTCCTCCTTTTCAGACACGTACAATGATTCCTGCAGCACAGCCTCAGTAGAGTCAGATACTAAGGAAAGCGAGGTGACCAAAAGCTTCCCAGCAGAACAGAGGGCTGGCAGCTGAACAGCAGGACCAGCCTTCCTCAGGACCCCATCCATCTCTGTTTATTTTGGGTGGACACTGGATCAAAGTTGCCTTTCTCACAATCTCTGAACAAGGTTCATAATTCACTAAAACTTTATCAGCATGAACAGATGAGAACTGTGGTGTCCACCTGGCAAGCTGGGAAAAACAAACTTGAAAGGAGCATTAAACATCCAGAAAGCATCAAAACTCACCTTCAGTATTAGAGGAGAAAAATGCTTCTCGCATTGATTATCAAACTGTTTCAGAAGATGTGGCCTAAATTAGGTCGGCAGCAGAGCTGAAGAGTTACTATGCACACACCTTTTGGCAACTTTGCTTGAACACCGAGTTACTGCAGAGGGACACATGCATGGTTACAAGTTCTTGCTCTACCATGGGGTCACCTGGAGGTTTTTCCATTTGCTTGCCTCTGGCTGTGCCTTCCCCGTCCTCCTTAATTCCAGCTGATACATCACAAATGTGCCCTTTTTGCTGATGGTCAAGACCAAAACCATCCCATTTTAGGGTGGCTGTGGAAAGGAAACTTCTGACTTGGACTATCAGAGAGGCTTCATGCAGCAATGACGTGACTACTTTTGCAACAGCACAGTGAACGACCTGCTGCACGTAGCATATGTTGGGATGATGCAGATGGCAACTCCTGCATATGAAGTGGAGGTGCAGGGCTTAGCAGGGAAGCAAAGATGCGTGACAGCTACTGTGACAAAGAACATGTTGAACTCTTTTTACAATACAAGTAATTTCTCTGCCCCCTCTGCAGTCTGTGGTTGCTGGGTCACAATCCTTCGCATTTGGTGCCGAGAATTCAATTGAATGCCATGTAATGTCATATGTTTGAGTAGACTGCATGCTTTCTTTGTGTGCTGGGCTATGGAGTAGATACATTTCATCCCCCTTTGGAATACACTTAAGCATTGCAAATAGGCAGTGAGCATTAGATACGCCAATGAGTGGATAAAGTGTTGTTGTTACATACTTCTTTCCAGGACATTTGTTTAAAGGACTGTACCAAATCTCTGCCACATAAGGATGTAACGTATAATATAAAGTGATTACAGATGCTATTATTCCTATACAAGCCATTAGCTCATTTAGAGCAGCTGTTAAGGCATGAAGACATTTTGATGGTAACTGGGTCTTAGGTCCCACAAAAGCTGCTAATACTTTAGTAAAGATAAGTATTGACTAAGGGTTGCAAACAGGCAAAGATCAGCCTGGTAAAAATGATGCTAGAAGCTCAAGAGTGAGTGACTGGCTTTCACTATTAGGGATTTTTTTTCAACTCTGAGACTAGTGGTGCTCTATGTAAATAACAAAGGGATTGAAAGCACTAAAAATGGAGATGAAGCAAAACCAAAACCCACCCTTTAGTAATTGAGCCTCTGAGCAAAATAGTAGGAGTCTGTATCATTTCTGCTATCATCTTTGCAGGGACCCAAATGTTTTTCTTTGTGTCTCAGTGGAGGCTGGCATTGCAAATATCGTAGTGTGTGAGTCAGGATAGCTGTGAAGCAGGTAGATAGTCCCATTCAAGAAAAAGCCTTGGAGTAGGTAAAGACTTATTCAGATTTTGTTTACCTATGAAGGCTTATTGGTTAATTATGAATTGCACTGTGGTGGTTAATTCCCATGGTTCTATCCCTCAATATCTAAACTCTGTGATTTCTGATTTTTTCCGTTCATGACTAAAGGACCTGAGAGCTCTGTACCTTTTTGGAAGAAAATTATGTCCTACAGAGATAAAAGCTTGTCTGTTTTGTGCTGGTCATTTACTTTAAAAATGACACATGGGCACTCAGGAACATGAATCCTGTTAGTCTACTGTAGTTATGAGCATCTTGAGGGAAGAACTGATTCCTTTCAGTCCCCTAAGGAAATATGCAGTGATGTTTTCTTGTAGTGCAATTATTTTATCCTCTCCCTAAAAAGAGTTAATTTTGGTTTCTCTATTACTTTCAGTAATTTTTGCACAGCCTAGTAACAGTGCTTCTGTCTACCCCTGCCCTAAGCATAGGAGAGGAAAGGGGTAGAGAGCTTTGATTGCACATTAATGAATATAGCAAGCTTTTGTGTGTGTGTGTGAGAGAGAGATGGGGAAGAGTTACCCTGGATATATGAAGCTGCCAAAACTAGGACTTGTGACATTGCTGACAGATGGAAAGATGCAGTCTTGCGCTTTGGAGTTTCTTTGGAGGAATCTCATTCTAACGGTGAAATGGCAGTGGGAAGTCTCTGAACTGAAGATGGAAAATTAGGTATTGTCAGTTCATTTCCTACCTCTGCTGTGCGCCGGGTGACAGTGTGCTAGTCCTGTATCCCCCGCTGCCTCCGTATCTTCCTGTAAAATGGGAGCTATTGGATTTCCATGTGTTGAATTCTCATGCTAAATTTTAGCATGTATGCAAAAACTGGGGACCCTCCAGGGGAGGGCAAAGCATTCAACCCCCTGTGTCCCGCTGTGCCCTCCATGAGCATCAGTGCTGGCATCCTGTGGGGCAGTCCAGAGCTGGAGCAGAGAAGAGGAGTGCTGCAGAAGTGTCTCCTCTCTCCCAGCTCACCATCTCATCGTGACAACTCCAAATGTATGGGCTGGATTATAACAATTCTCCTCCCTACTCTGCTTTTGAAAATTATTCTTTTTTTTTTTTTTCCCCCCTCAAATCTCATGTTTTATCCTGTTGGACGAAAGTTTGATTCATTCCTGCACCATGAATGCCCTGAGGATGGTAAGTAACTCACAGCCACGGGGCAGTGTGCAGCAGTGTCGCACTCCAATCTCAGCGGTCTTTGGGAGCTGACTGTATCACCGCTATCCTTGGACACTACTGAACCTAAGCAGGGAGCCCACAACCATTAATTGTCTCTTTAACCTTCCCGCAGTGCCGCGAGCCAAAGGCAGCTGCCTGTTTCTGTCTCCACTTTCCAAACTCAGACCACACTGCAGCCATTGCAGCTGCTGCTGGGGAGTAAGCGGGGCCCTTTGCCTGGTTGATGCCTGCGGTGCAAACGTCAGTGAGACAATGCCACACTGCTGGTTTGCTTTTTTAAAGAATGACGTTCAGTGACAGATCAGGCTGCTGACAGGTCTGAGAGCAGCCGGCAAGAAGTAACCCTCTAGCTTTGCTGATGAGACAAAATAGGGTTTGATGACTTCTTTTTTTAATAGTAGACAGGATGGTCTTTTAAATAGTGTATTTCTGTCAAGCAAGGTGATAATTAAGGGAATGACTCTCCATGTACAGTCTAGAATATGATTATGTCCAGCAAGACTAATGTGTACGTTAAGGTATATTTATTCTGTATGTAGGTCTTTGACACCATCATTTTCAGGTAGATGGACCTAAAAATCTTAGTTTTCAAATATGGATCTCATTTCAGTGTTGTTTAGAGACAATATAGTGACCAGAAAGTCATTTAAAAGTAATGGTTGCTACTAAGTGTCAGTTGTAGAAGAGACAAGGTCCAAGGTAAATGTATCCTGTAGCAGCACTTGGGGTTGAGCATCATGCCCTTACTGCTTGACCAGCGAGTCCGTGCCAGCTGCCTGGCTGTTCTCTCTGGGTCTGGACTTGTGAGATCTGCGCTCTAGGCTGAGGTTTTGACTTGGATCTCCTCCCTCTGCCTTGCTGCCATCTTCTGTGAAACCTGCAGAAACTTCACATCCTCGAAACTCTGCCCTCTGCTCAGTTGGGTGTAGTTGGGCAACAGACTCCTTCCTTACTGGTGGTAATGACAACAGATAGACAGGCATTTGCCATGATACACAAGTCTTGCTTTTACTAAACCAGGCCAAGATGTAATCAGGCCTGATCCTCTCCTTCTCTCATGTCTAACCCCACTGGGTGGAGAATCAGACCAATGGTCACTGTCTTGATCATAAAAGGCTGCGGCCAATTAATGTCTGAACACTGGCTTTTCTTGCCAGTGACAACAAATCTGTGTGTGTGTCTTATATTCTGGTTGTGTATGTGATGAAAAGCCATTTTATTATCCATAATTTTCTTAGGCTTGAGATTTCAAACAGGATTGGGTATGAGAACGGCCATGCGCTTCCTTTCCAAAAATACTCAAAGCCTGACTTCAAATATATATATGATTAGAAATATATAAGAATAAGAAGAAAAAAGAGCCAAATTGTGTATTTCTTCTTGCAACTGGAGCTGAAATAGCTGCTAAGATTTTGTCTCCCCAGCTGAGAGTTGGTACAGTTTGTTTTTCTTACATATTTTCCATGGTGTTGATAATGATGTATTTGTATATTGTGACTGATGAGAGATAATCAGACCGGGAAAGAGCACAGAATTACCTGTCCTTTTTTTTTCCAGTCAAGACAGAATGTATGAATTTATTACAAGAAAAAAGTGTACAAATGAATTTCCTGTAATTAGGCCATTCTGACCTGTGTAGAACCACACTTTGTTTGAAATTTATAAAAACTATGACAAGTACAAAACATTGTTGTTGATTTCTCTATACGAAGTAACAAGTCAAATGAGCTGTCTTTCTATTCAAAATAAATATCAGTAAAGGCACATCATCACAGCTGAAAAAAATCCACACATCTGTCCAATATAACTTTATTTGTCCAGCACACGTGTCACAAAAGGCACAAGTGTTTTTTATCCTTTACCCATCTCCCTTAGTCATGTTCCTGAATCGCTGGGACTCTCAGGAGAGTGCAAAGGGTCACGCAGACAGTTCAGAGTTGCGTATGCTCATGCTGCAGCCATAAGGCAAGAAAGTTGTACGATAACTTTATTATAGTTAACGCCTAAGATACCTGCATACCTTTGGCTACCAGGAGTTTATTAGGGAGCACTAACTGACCCAAATGCATGTTGTAGATCATATAGAAGGGCAAGCAGGTAAAAATGAGAACGTAGAAACACAATGCAAATAGAGAGCGCAAAATAAATTGGAACTAATTTCAGCTGGTATCCAGAGTTCTGAGGGCAAACTTCACCCCACTTGAGTTTTCAAGGCATTGACCTTATCATGTTACTGCAATACAATATCGGCATGAGAAAATGAAGAATTAGGACCACACCACTTCCCAGGTGTGGGGCTTGGCTTGCTTTGTTCCCCTCCACCAAGCAGGCCCCATGGCAAAGGCCCAGGGCTGGAAACCCAGCCGCAGGCGTGAGCAGGCGTAACGCGCTGCTGTTGCAGATCTCTAGCGCGTGGCTCCGCACGCCGGGACCTGCCCGCGCAGCTCCTGTCCCGGCCTGGCGCGGTTTGCAGGAGGCACTTCGCGGGACACAGCTGGGGCGTTGATACTTCTGAGGAGTGTGTTTGGACGCAGCACTAACGGTGAGCCAGCGCGGCTGATCCACCTTCAACGAGCTCGGTCCCTGGAGCAGGACTGAACCCGCCAGCAAAGGCTGCCGACAGTCCCCGGCTGGGACCAGAGCCCGTCTGGGGCTTTGCTCAGCCCTTTCTCGCTTTTAGCAGGTCCTCTGCAGAGGTGGCCCAAGATCACACCTCTCCCTTCTGTGCCTTAACATAAAAGATCGAGCTTGGCCCTAAAGCAAGTACTTTTTAAAAGAACACAGGGAAGTACTGATTACAGGTTGTAACCCTCCACTGGGTCTGCACCAGGTTATCAAAACTGGGGAGAGATGCACGAAGCTTTACGTGGCCTTGCAGAGCTCTAGGTCTCAGCTGCTGAGTGAGAGCCTGTCCTTCCCCCAGTTAGCTCAGCAGTCCTGTTTTCATTTTATTTCCTAACCATCATTTATTTCCTTCTGTGGTAGTTTACAGACGAGAAGTGTCGGTCTCCCCCTCTCTCTCCACCTCCTTTCCAGCCATGTGACTGAGCACTCCCTGCATCAAATGAAACTTTTCAGTCCCCAGGAAACCTTGATTTCCTTTCCGCCCGCTCCACAGTGAGAAGCAGCGTCTCTCAAACCTGCAGCTGTGCTGGCCATGGGGAGGAGCGCAGGGCAGTTCATCTTGCTAACCTTCGCCTGTGGTGAGTAACATCCTCCACCGTTTCTGTGAGAACAATGAGATGATAGATTATACCAGTTTTGTTTCCCTGCAGTCCGGACAGCACCTAACAGACTGAAAACCTTCAATAGTTTTGTTGCTAGCACTAAGGGTGCTTTTAATAAAGTCCCACTGCTAAGAAATAGCTATAACTACATTTAATTGCAGCTGGCATAAGACAGTCTGATGTTTTCTTGTGTTCTTGCACTCTGTGGTGACATAAACTCTGACTGTGTGATGGAGTAAGCTCAAAATAGTATGAGAAGCAGGCTTTTTTGGGCTAGCTTTTCTTAATTAAAAATAATTCTGAGACCAGCAGAACTGACTGGGGGTCCTGAGTGAGGCAAGCAGAAGAAAAACTAAGGAAGTGTTGCTCGAGTCATTCATCTGCATCGCGAGATGCAGAGCATGACCAGGAAAGCAAGAGTGGGGCGGGGGGCTTGGGGAAGGCGGAGGCAGGCTGGGGCTTAGCTCAACGATAAACCAGACCAAAGTCACCGTTCTGTCCTTAACGCTGCTCTGTGAAAATCTGGGGAGCTAGCCTGGTCAAGGATGTGTCCCAGCATGTGAGGGCATCCCTCAACACTCGCAGCAGCACAAAATCAGCCAGGTGAAGGACAGAGCGTGACTTAATCAGTGGAATGGTTGAAGGTCTGAGCTTGCTGGTGGGGCGCTGGGTTTCTGCGGTGTGTTTTGCTATCGGCCCACAGGGATCACACAGGCAACAATCCCCGACTCCCTCCCAGCCCCGCAGCGGCGGTGCAGGGAGCTGGGAAACAGCCCAGGGACTTGGCCACATGCAGGTCCTGCCGTATCTGCTCTGCTTTCCCACACCTGCTTCACAGCCTGCATCTGCTGAAGTACCCCAGAACGTATACAGGAAAGGAGAACGAGATCAGACTGAGAGAAATAACACTAATAACTCAGCGGTCATCAAGGATCTTTTTGACCAGGAAGAACTTGTTTCCTCACCTCTTTATCCATTTTGATAATTCCTTTAGTAATTTGCTGTGATGCTTCATTAATGCCACAAAATCAAGTCTTTCAGTGCAGATAGCGAGTTAAACATAATTAAAGGTGAAGGGATAAAGTCTGATGTGTTGGAGGGAAACTTTGACAGTACTGAAACCTCTCAGAAAATCTTGGTGCTTTTCCAGTTCCTCAGGGACCCAAACCAAAGCACCCAGAGCCGGGAAAAGTGTTCTCAGTGGTTGTAGGAGCCGCGTCAGGTTTTCATGTCGACACAAAATCAGTCAGCTAAACACAAGCATTTCTTCTGGGCAGTGTAAAGCGGAACGAACCTGCGGGGCGGCCGAGCAGCATGACTGTGTGGTTAGACAAGATGGGGAAAAAATCCCCAGCGAGAATTTTTTTCACCCCCCCCCGCCAGTTACAGGAAGGCGGCCTGAGAAACGCTACAGCCAGACCACAGCAGTGCGCGCTCCGCTGCCCGCCGCAGCGCCCGGGAGCAGGGCAGTGATGTTCCTTTGCTGGCCACCAAAGCACGAAAGCGGGGTCTCCAGGCCCAGATTTGGGACAGTGAGTTTCTGAGAGCTGACCTGATCCTTTTCTGAGCTTTGTCCCGAAGCGTTGCGTGCACGGAGGCTCGCTGGGCAGAAACGCAGCCCTTGGCAACTGTAACACACAACTTCGAAGCCGAGGTGAGACAAAGGGATTGCAGCTACTTGCTCCAGGAAGGTACACGGCAGGGAGCACGCGTCCCTTGAGCAAAATGTTGGTCATATGAAGTTTTGAGATGGCCTTGTAGAAAAAACAGGCAGAGACCAAGAGAGGGATGCGGAGCTGCAACTCATTGTTGCTCCGCGGCCTCGTTTGCCGGCAGAGCGTGAAAAGGGCTGCGGTGCGGGCAGCCATGCAAGCGGCTCCTTTGCCGAGCCGTGCCAGGCTCCCCGAGAGGCAATGCTGCAACGCTGAAGGACACGTGGTGAAACCTCCTAAGCTCTAGTTGGAGGGTACGTCAGGCACCCCATGAGCCTACCTGCCCCTTCGCACAGCAGCGCTACCGAAGCACCTCCAACAGCCACTCAAGAACAAGACCATTAGGTGCAACCGGGCAGCAATCCTTACCAGCCCTGGGAGCTCATGTGGCCAAATGCCTTTTGAGAAGATGACCCAAACCAACAGGTTTAGCAGCATGGCTGTGCCCCAACAGAGGCTCCAAAATGCTGGGGAGAGCCATGGGAGGCTGGAGGACCGGTCTGGCCAGGTCACCATGGGCCACCCCAAAGATGTTTCTGACTTTACCCCTCAGTGACCCTGAACATTCCTCTAGTGAAAAATAGTTAGGTTGAAATGACCTTTTGGGGAAAATGAAGTTTCATTTAAAAGCTATGGGTGTCATCCAAATGTTAGTGAAATAATGTTTCTCTCCACATCTGTAAGGTAAGTGTTATCTGGTCAGAAATTGAAACCAATCTGTTAACTATAAAGCAGGAAGTACTGACTATTTAAGACTTGTGTAAATTTAAATATGGGTTGGTTTGCAATCTTATAGGGGAAAAAAGTGAAAATTGCAACTTCTTCTTTTTTGGTTTTATTGTGCCGATACACTTAGATGCAACTACCTATAGCTGGTATATGGAAACTGCTCTGATTTTCCACCGGCACAGAGAAGGAGAGAAGTTATTTGTTTTTCAGCTCTGCCAGCAGGTGTGGTAAAGTCTAGGGGAAAGTGAGAAAATGAATGAAAGAATCATACTTATTATGGCATTTTTAGGTTCCTTCTGATAAAATTCACAATCGGGGGATCTGTCCTGTCATTTTTGTGGCTTTTCAACTGCGTCAGGTCGCAATTCTTTGATAGTAACAGCTACACTGGCAGTCTGTATATTCTGTACAGCACAGAGGTGAAACCCAGGCAATTTTAGGAATATGGAGTACACATCTACGCTTCTGCTCTTCTCTAGCATAGCCATTTTTAAGGGAAACTTGTGGTGTGGGTTCAGATTTGTACATCTGTTCTCATTTCTTTGGTTTTGATCTTGAATTTGATCCAAAACCCAGTAGGTTTTGTTATTCTTATTTAGTTTATCTGTATCCTAAAATGGTGAGATTTTGTGAATTCAGCTATTGCTGCAGATCTCTCTTCATGCTGAGTGAAAAGAAATAAGAAAAGGAAGAAGAGCTTGTGAGATTTCAGCCATTTCCACTCTGAATGTGCCTCTGGCCTTAATAAATCCTTAAATACGAATCTCAGCAACCTGCCTGCCACAAAACTTTGACATCAATTAATGAGAAATTTCTTTGGAAACCAGCATACAATAAACTTCTCAGACAACATGTTGTGACATCCTTCGTGGAGCTGTACTCCTAGGAATATAAGCTGTCTTGGACTTTTGGGTCCCTTCTATCTAGAAACTGAGACTCAAACTCATCTTTGTCCTCCAGCAAATGTAGGCAGTAAAGCATTTAACTACACCTGAAGCTTCATGCAAATCAAAGAATTCATATCTGTCAGTGATTTATGATTTCTTTTAGCTTGACCTTGTCTTTACAGAGTCTTGTTGCATACTCATAATCAAAGACTCAAGCAGAAGAGTTGTGACCTTCATCTATTCTACAATGTACTATTCTCACTTCTTCTTCACCTCATTATTTACATTCAGGAGCCAGATATTTTCTTTTCAGTTCTGCAAGGGACATGTTTCTGTAAACGTTATAAGATGGAAGCGTAATTTTGGTGCTGTGACTATTTTCAGATGCGGTCCAAACCAACCCTGGATGCTGTACCCTGAAATTTGTTTCTCGTTGCTGAAAGCCCATCACTAAGAGGGCTGGTCGTTCCTTGTTTGGAGCATCCTCTTGGGTACCTTCCAGGAGGAAGAACTTCAGGGTTCGAGCTGGCATGGCTACAACAAAACCATAAATAACTATCTGGAATTTCCCTGTCTCTCAGACTGGTTTCCCAGTTTTCCCAGACTTGCATCACTGTAAGACCATTACACTGCCTCACTTCCTTCACACCTAAAAAAATGTTCCCTTTCCCCACACTTTGTTGGTAAGTAACCAACCACCCCTTCACCTGTTACACCCACTACATCTTCCTTAGACCTTGATAATTCACCTCTAGCAAATCTTGCTGTACTATTTCCTGCAAGGGAATTCTTGTGCTGCCTGGGGATTGTGCAAGGTCTGCTCACACCTCCGGTATCCTCTCGCTTCTTCAGCAGTAAAAGCAGCATGTGGGGAGCTGGGAGCCAACGTGCTTCCACTGCAATGGGTATCTTCAGAGGTGTGAAGATTGGGGGAGTGGTGAAAAGTTATGGATAGTCCTACAGCATGTCTGCTTCCACCCTCCTATCACGACTGGAGCCAAGCGAAGAATAAAATCATATCACTCGATAACAAAATCACTGCAGTTATGTTGTGGGTAGCAGCAGAAATGTTAAAGGTAACTACTGACTGACTTGTTTCTTTGCAGCATTTTCCTCCTGCTTTGCTGAAGTGGCCCTGGGGGTCGAACAGTCTCCAGAAGCCATATCCTTCCACCATACAGCTACTTCTGCTCAGCCGCTTTCACTTTATCATTCTTCACCCCACCAAGGTAACGCAGTTCATTTTAACAGCACAGGCTCTCTTAAAACAACATCCGTAACAGCTGTGCAGACAACAGACCAGCTCCAGGTAACAACAGCACCAGGCCATCACTCGACAGCTCAGGCAGGAGCAACCACCATACAGGTGACCAGCCAGGAATCTCCTACGGCGGTATCCACGTCAGCAGACAACACAACTGCAGCTGGTCAGGCTACAACCCGGGCAATGGAAACAGTTACACCTGCAGTGAAGAACACAACTGTACACCCTATGTCCTCAACCAAGCAAGACAGAACACATGTGAGCACAGAGGTGACAGCAGCAGCCACAAACACAACCACAAAACATACAACACCACATACACAAATGACAGCTGCTGCCTTAACTGCTACAGCCACCACCATGCAAACCACAAAGCCCACCACAGGGTCAGGAAATCAAACAACAGCGCCTAAAGGTCCAACAGCCACAGCTGTGACCAACACAACAACCATTCATCCAGGGACTCAAACAACCATCCCATCTACTACAACAACAGTGAGACCCACTCCTGCACCGCGGCCTTCTCCCATCCCCACTGGCACATACACCGTTTCCACCGGGAACAGGACCTGCATCAAAGCAGTCATGGGTTTGCAACTGATGGCTGAAAACACACAGGAGGTAAGGTGGAAGCACTACAAGGCTGAGCTTTGTAATGACTGTCTCTTCATTAGCTGTAATTTATTCTTCTTTTTTCAAAGCAATTTTCAGAAGTTAGCTTGTGTGATAAAAATAAGCGGTTTGCTACCAGTTCGAGGCCTTTTCTGTGCCGCAGTATCTCAGCTGTTGTACTTTGGCTTGTGTGATGATGTCAGTGGGACCTACGGGTGCGTTCTTTTCTCAGCGATCTGTCTGCGGCAGCAGTATTTGGGAGGGAAGGTCAGGCTTCAGTGTTATTTGTGTTTCTCAGAATGGGAGACTAGTTGAAATCTGAATTGACTTCAGTGAAGGGCCTGACACCGCGAGTCGCAATGAAAGCAAGAAATTGTCAAGTCTCAGACTTGGATTTAGAGGTGGGTTGTCTTGATGCTGACACGTGGATATTTTAGGGATCATAGGAACTTCAAGGCTGCATCAGAGCGGTGGGGCTGATCGCCTCTCCTAGCAGTGATACGCTGTGAGTGATTCAGCAAAAGATGTCATAAAACCCAAAATGGTGATTATGTCCCTCAGAATTAAGGTTTTGCAACCTCCATTGATACAATATGTGGGGTTACATCCTCAGGTTCTGGAGTTTATATGCCTCAAGCCATCCCCATTAGAAATCCAAACATTCTTGTTTGTCTGGAGTCTGAATATTTCTAAGATGGGATGAGTATATAATGTTGGTGAAAGTAATTTTCACAGAAGCAGAACCATTTAGGTTGGACCAGACCCTTAAAATCATTTAACCTAACCGTAAACCTAACACTGCCAAGTCCACCACTAAACCATGTCTCTAAGCACCACATCTACACATCTTTCATCCCTTGTCCTGTCTGAAGCCAGGCAGGGAGCGTTGTTCCCCACCTCACCAGACCACAGTGAGACGCTTATTACGAAAGGTGTGTATGACATGAGACTGAAGGAGCCAAACTGTGTATTCAGGGCCCCAGAGCTCTCCTTTCAGACCACAACGTGGCTTGGCTGATGCCGGAGATGAACGGTGCAGGACATAATGAGGAGGCTGGGGTGATACAAGGAGCAACAAGTCAAAGCCAATCTAACCACTGCCTGCCTCTGTCTTGATCTTTCCTTCGCCTTCAGGCATCAGTTCCCACTGCTCCCTCTTTTTAAATTACCACTGGTGTTCATCTGACCCTGCTCTGAATCATCTCAGTTCACTGAATGAGCAGAAAATTATTATTTTCTGCCAGCTTAGCACACTGGAACAGCTGGGTGCTGTGTCAGACAAGTGCTAGTGGTGGTTTACGAGTGGGGAATGACCCCAGCAGCCAGCAATTAGGCTGCCGCCGCCACCGCCCTGTTCGTCTGGCCACACAGAGCCTGCCTGAAAACCAAAAAGGCAGCTGTAAATCTCTGTGTGCTTCTTATTAAGTTTTCCCCCCCTCTTCATCAGCAGCCCTGAAATGTCTCTTCTCTCCACAGAAGCGGATGGAGTACATGGCTGTCAACCCCAACGCGACACAGACATCTGGCAGCTGCGGGACGGTGCGGTCTGAGCTGAACATAACTTTCAGTGGAGGGTTTATAAACTTCACCTTTGTAAAGGTAATTGTTGCATTTAGAGGGAAGGAGTGTTTTAGATTGGGAAGCTGGAACTTAGGCTGCCTTTGATCCAGCTTGTGCTGTGGGAAAAGGCATTTCATCCATCTCTCTGCTAGTTTTCCACTTGCATATAAGGCACGACTACTCCTTCCCAGGAGGCTGGACTCATAGAACCATGGATTAATTCAGGGTGGAAAAAATCTTTGGAGGCCACCTGGTCCATCCCCCTACTCAGAGCAGGACTAGCTTCAGTGTTAAATCATGTCTTGTCTAGTTAAACTTCCAATTTGGAAAGGTTCGTATGTGCAGTGAAGGGTAAGTACAGTGCTGTGCCATCCTTTGATAGAAAGTGCTGGAAAACAGTGTTAAAGCTCCCCATCTAGCAAGATGAAATCTAGAAATAGCCTCAAGCAAAATCTGCATCTCATTTTTACATTGATAAAAATCTAGCGGGAGGGAAGGCCGGCTGTGCTGTTTGCACTGGAGCGGGACGGAGGGAATGGCTTTGGTTCTGGGGTCCCTGCCCAGGAAGGAGGTGTGTGTGCCGCAGCTCCCGCTCACACTGCCAAGCTGCTCGTACGAAATGGCGCCTCAGGGGCCGCGCGAATGCAGGCGAGGTTAGTTATTTGTTTCCCATAACTGCCAAGTACCGCAACTGCTCGGCCAAAGCCAGCTTGATAAATCCAAAGGGCAGCCTCCGCAGCTGTAAGTGCCCAGGAGCCGCAGCCCATCCACAGCTGAAGGGGCCTAATTTCATCTAATTTCTGAGTGGAAAATTCCAAACAAGTGAACAATAACAACAAAATCGTAGATAAGTGCCCTTAAAATGCACTACATCAGGGAGACTTATAAGTACACACAGAAACTTGGGCAAGAGAGAGGCCCTGCTTACATAGTGGGAAAATGAGCTTTCTTTTTGATATCCTGTTTATTGATAAATGGTCCCCACCGGGACCGCATCGTGTGTGGATGAGGCTTTAACATAAGCTACCGAGAGCGCTGCTGCTATTATAACCACAGGAGAAAATGGCTGAGTGCAGCCATCCTCTTGCTTCCTCAGACATTTACGCGGTTTACGTATTTTGGGAGGCAGCATGCAGTACTATTTATCTGAAAGCTAATACAGGCTGGGTGGTGATGCCAGCAGGGCTAAAGACAGAAGTTAATACTGTGTATAAAGTCACTAATGGGCAGGGAGGAATGCGGCACGGGCTGGATCCCATCAAACTCCGACTTAGGTAACATGCATTAAGGCCATGTCTGGGAGCTCCACAGAAGTTCAGAGCTGCATCTGGCCGTCCCTGCTGATCTGTGTCCTTCAATTAATTAAGCCAAAACGTCAATCTTACAACCTGGTTCCAAGCTCAAATTGGCGACAATTAAGAAAAGTACAAATGGTTAATCAGTCATTTCCACAAAGTCCAAGATGTGACAGCAAATTATACCACATCTGTGTCATTAATGCTTGAGCAGAGAAAAGATTTCAATTAATAATTATCTTGATTTTAGTTTATGGCAGAAAGTTTTTGAAAACCTACAGAGGAAAAGTGAGGTAAAAAATCAAGGGGCTGTTTTAAAACAAAGGTTCAGTTCAGACCGTGAGTGTTTGCTTTAAATGTGTGCTTCCTGCAACAAGGGGAGCATTTTCTGTGTTACAAGGATCCTTAGAAAAAGTCTGGTGATTCGAGTACCCATGAAAGACCCAGCTCACAGCAGAGCTAAGGAGAGTGATGTGAACCTTTAGGAGGTACTTGACCTGTCTTGCTCTGAAAAACATGGTTATTGGCACAGCATTAGACAATCCTCCCTTCACTTAAAGATAAGCCTCAAGAGTGTAGCAGGGCTCGGCTCAAACTTCTTTGAAATTCAAGTTAATAAGAAATCATTTTGCTGCTGTTTTTTGTGTGTTTGGCCCCCACAGCCCCTCTAACTACTTTGAACCATGAGTGCTCCAGTGATGGCACTTCTGATTTTCACCGGTGAAAGAGGAGCTGGGTCAGGCCCTGGGGCTGCGGTGCTGGTGCGGGGCAGTGGGAGGTGAGCGGCTGGCTCCGCACTCCCCACTGCCAGCTGCTTTTTGCAAAGAACTTGAAAAAAGGAAGTTTTGTAACCAACCCACAAGACATAAGTAGGAGCAGGTGTTTTCCCCAAGCAACTGTGGCCAAACAGAACATAGCGCTGCTGCCAGAAAAATGGTAGTATTATTTGACCCGTTTCCCAATATTTATGTCTTTAAGTAGGATTAATGATGAGAACTTCTTCTCTGGTGTATTTCTTTCTCAAACTTTACCAATCCATCCTACCAGCTTTCGAACTGCATAACGTTAATACTGCGCGCACAGGAGACATTCATGTCTGCTGCCATTTATCCACCAGCTGCACTCACCAGTCCCGGCGTGCTCACAGCTGGAATGGAAACGAACAGTACGGCTGCTACACAAGGACTCGCATTATACCCGACCCTGATACCAGGGAAAAGCTCCTAGGGCTGGCCCTCACGTAGTGACAGTCCAGGGGAGGACAGCGTTCAGGTTGCACCAGGATTTTTGGGCACATGCAGGCAGGACAGTCAGCTGGAAATTTTGCTCCGCGCTATTGTACACGGTGCTTTCCGTGTCAGCACTCTGTAGGCATATGAAAAAAAGCCAGCCAGCCCCAACAGTGTCAGCAGGGTGGAAAGAACAGTTATTTCTCCGCTACACAGGACACCCAGGTTGCCGTTTCCTCATTTATAGTGACTGCTGTTGGTAGACAAAATAGGAAATGAGCGGTACCAGCATGAGATGAGCTCCCGGCTCTCAGCGCGTTGCTGACCTCTCCCAGTTGAAAACAACGACGAACGCAGAAGCCACGGCTGCTTTCTGCAGTTCGCTCACGCGAAGGGCATCTCTGCGTAAAGTCCGCTGCAGCGCCCAGTCCCCAGTACTTCTAGAGGTGTGGGCTTAGGTCCTGCAAGCAGTCAGACTGCAGGTCAGCATGGGCTAATTCAGAGCAGGATTACCCAGGGGAGCACTGTAGGGACGCTCGATGAAAGCAGAACAAGTGAACAGAAGTAAAACGGCCTTATCACATGCCTGTTAATTTGTGCAAAGTATACTATTTGCTTAAGTCCCTTCTACTTTTGGTAACCACGAGTATCACAGAAACATCTAGCCTGAGCAGTGTGAGTAAAACCACACCTGCATGGTCCAGTTCCACTGCACTGAGCGGACCTGGTGATCTAGCTGAGACGGTTACTGCATTACACCAGCTTCTTAGCTATGGGAGTGATTTGGAAAAGAAAAAGCAATACATCCGAGCAAGTTGGGTTTTGGGTCTTAAAGATGATGCTTTAAAATGTGTTTCTTTGGGAAGTTCTCTGTGACCATTTTGCTGTGGTGAACTGTACTTTTTTCACAAATATGAGGATGTATTATGACTAAAGAGATATCTTCTTTTATAGCAAGCTCCAACGTACTATGTCAGTAAAATCGAGACCAGGTTACAGTTATCTTCTGAAGGTCAGTGATTTTACACTGTCTTAATTTCATAACAAACTGTTCTGGGTGTGGGATAGGCTTTCATATCTAACACTGTATTTTGCAAATTATGTATTTTATAAGGCTTTCAACATGTCATTCACCCAAATCTTATGATATGAAAATGGAATAGAAGAGACTGGGCTGCAGTTAAATCAGAATTGTTCAATTTTCCTTTTGTCCTCAAAAGCTTTTCCTGCCTTTCACTACTCTTTCAGAATAGAGACTACTTCAAACATAAATTCAAGATACAAAACAGTCCTCAAACTTTTTATCTGCAAATACATAAAAATACTGTGACTCCAGTTCAGTTGCATGTGTCTTGCCAATCTAATACGCAAATTAAATGAATACAGTATCTGGATCACAGAGATGCAGAGCTGGATCCAGATTTCAAATACATCAATATGGAGAGGAGGCATGTCTCATATTTTGGTTTGGCAAAAATAGGAGCTGGACCCAGGCTGAGGCTCTTCAAACCACGCTGAAATCCTAGACCATGTCTGTGCTCTTCTCAGGTGATTAGATTTTTTTTTCTTACATAGTCCTGCTTCTCACCATTTGAACATTCTGGAGCTGCCCCAGATGCTACATGCCAAGAAATGCTAAGAGAACATCGTTTAGGTCAGAGACCAAAATTCTAAGCAATCACTTCAGATTTTCTCTGACATTAATTTTGCACAAATTCTTCCCAATATATCAAATCTAGGACAGGTTAACAACCATATTGTGTTGCTTCTCCATTCGTTACTCGTGAGTATTTGGATTAACTTTTGTCCCTGAAAGAAGTAAAACAAATCAGGAGCTCGACCAGGTGTGTCCTAATAACACTGAGCTTTTTGGAAGCTCAGTGCCTATTTTTCTTCTCACTGATGAGCACTTTTATTAACTGAAGTGGAGCCTATCCTGTTCTGCAGCAGTTGAAGTAAAAGAAAAGCTGATCTAGAGGACATGTCTGCAAGGGATGTTCTCAGTCTAAATGATCAGCGTTTTACTGTGAATTGCTATGTGCAAATTGCAGCAAATACACACTAATTGGCTTACTCATAAGTTTTAAAATCCTCAAATATATTTTGAGTCCTCCACAGTGGTGCTCCCTAGAGACGTCGCTATCCCTGGCTCTTTGTTACTGCCTCTCTGCCAGATGTTGCCATTTCACCGACCAGCAGTATTTTTACAGTAAGCAAGCCTGTATCTTTTCTAAGATAAAAATTACTGAATTAACTCTATCAGTACACACTGGTGTACTGATTCTGACTGAAGAGGAGCAGGAGTATGCTGCACACTATGGCGCTGGCAGATGTGGTTGAGATACAGGGATGCAAAGTTGGTGATGTGGATGATTTTGCCTTAAACCGGTACATCTGCTTTACAAGGTTACAAGATCTTTTCATGCTTTGAACTTGAGCCATATTGTCCGTAAAGTATTGCGACACTGAAATATGTTTAATAACATATTTAATAGATAAAGCAATACAGACTAGTTATGTCAGATTCCCATGCTAGAGATGGTATCTCTGTTTTGTCTGGAAATAGCTGTGCTGGAAATCTAAGATCGTTGTCTGCTCCTGCAAGAATCCTAACCCCTTCTTTAAGTTTCAGGCTGTTAAAATATGATTTGAAGAAGCATCTGAAATTTTAGCCACTTTTTCAGACCCAAGCTCAGCTGAGTTACCCATTGGTAATTAAAGCACTCATTTAAACATGGAAGAAATGTAACAGATACTTTCTGGGGGAAATGTCCATGCGTTAGTCACATCCATGGCTGCTGCTCTGCCAAGCACTGGGGATCCTACATTTTGTCTCAGAAAGATGTTGTTTCCAACAAAGTTAATGTGGATTCTCATTTGTCTCTCTCTTTATGGCCTCCAGGTATGCTTTACTATGCAGCCATACATGAGAAGCTGTTTACAACAAGGCTGGGGAATTCCTTTAAGTGTGCCAGCAAGCAAACCTTCATCTTGGAGAAGAACTTCCAGCTACTCTTTGTTAACATGCGGCTGCAGGCGTTTGATATTGTCGGTAACCAGTTTGGAAAAGGTAAGTAGAAGGATACCTTTTCCACCCTTCCAAAGTCAGCACTCTGGTAGCCTGAGAGGTATAACCTCCTAGATTATAACCACACACATGCGGTGATCCTGTAACACCTATAGCACAATCACAGCTTTGTAGTAGTTCCCAAATAATGTTATCTTCCTGTTGCTGTAGTCTTACCCTTTTCTGAGTAATTTTCAACACAGTGCTAATACCTGTGGAAGATAGAAAAGTATCTTTCCCTCCTGCATTCAGTACCTTGTGTTTCACCTTTTCATTAAAAATGTTCAACTCTATAGCCACAATTTTATTCTTCACTCATTTTCTCCCAGAGCAAGTGGAGGTGCGTTCACCACCATTGCATTTCCAAAACCCCTAATATGTACAGTTCAGTTCAAGGTCACTGTTCTCAATATAGTCAGATTTTAGCTATTTTGAAAGGCTTTTGACAGTCATGATGCCTCACAGCTGCATCAGCAAAACTGACTACTAATAAGGGATATTTATGAATGCAGGATGATACTTTCAGAGCAACTGTGTCTAGACATGATGAAATGTGCCCCTGAGGAGGAACACGATTGGCACGCTCCCAGTTTCAGAATTAAACATGATGCTCTTCTCTGCAATTTGTCTTTTCTTTAGTACAGCCACAAAGAGGCAACCATGTAGCTTAGTAAAGGACAGAGACAGACCAGTACTGACTCCTCTGGTCTCTGGGTTGCCCACACTGGGAGAATGTATTGGGGCTCATCACAACTTCTTTCCTACAAACACACCCGGGGTTCCTTCCACAGGGAAATGAGATGTTGTCATCCTTGTTTCTTGTTCAGAGGTGCAGCCAGGACCTGGCCAGGCTGTGGGGCCAGGACTGCTGGGTGCACCAGGAAATTCCTGTTACTCACAGTATGGACACTCTCAGCGTCTACTGCCTTACTTCTTATGAGATGCATGAGAGATCCTACAAAAAGCAGAGAGGTGGACTAGATGGTAGTCTGTGGACTCTTTCCAACTCTTCACACTTCTGTGACTTCCTCTCAGGGTCTTTCCATGCAAAAACTCAGGTGGACCGATAGGCTTATCAGCTCTCCAGCCCTTCACATGCACTAATAAAACATTGACTTCTGACATTTGACTTTCTGCATGCTTACAAAATACAGCCCCTGTATTCTTTTTACTTTAGATCTATCTTTTGACTCAGTTTGGCTCTGCTTGATTCTTCTTTTGTTAGTTCACCATTTTTCCTGTTATTCTAAAATGAATATAATGGGAAACAACATTTGGGGCTTTTTAAAGACATGAACTTTTTTTTTGCATACTTTTCTTTAGATTCTTAAAAATGACACTGAGAATCCAATCTATGCTCTCATCCTCATGAAGATTTTTTTCATGGGATAACACTGAGCTGGAACAACTCATGGGATCCCATCTGGTCCCCACATTCCCATTTGAATTTGTACAATGAGTGAGTTCAGTCGTGGCTTTTGGTATGGCCTCACATCTAGTGGAGACAGAGCTTAGAAAGACTCTCTCTCTCTCTCTTTTTTCTCCCTCCAAGATCAGGCTAATCTCTGCTAATCAATAGCATATACAAAAATAAATTAGTTTTGATCTTAATCAAAAGGCTGAGAAAGCAGCTACCACCTCTGAAATAATTCCCCAGTGGCCATGAAATAGTTATGAAACTGTTACGTACCTCTGCTGTGTGTGTAGATTTTGAAAGACAAAATCCCCAGTGAAGGAATGACTCTACACACACCACCGGCCTCCTCCCTACAGGTTTCTTGAGGCTGGTTGTTTCACTTCTGTTGCTGCTGATTTGCCGATCTTTAAAAGAGGAAGAAAAAGAAAACACTAATGACCATTGGTTTCAAGTTCCTTACAATTTTGTACAGACTGCAGCAATGTTACATCAATAGCTTAGCCTGTTTGATTCTGGAAAGCTGTAAAAGTGTCTTCTGAACTGCACTCCAGTACATCAGAAACGATTCCTAGAGTTCATAGCCCAAGGTTTTGTCAAAGCAAAATGGCCAATTCAAACATCTCTGGCTTTTGCAATACCCAAATGCAAAGGCTTTTCAGTTCACTTCCTTAACAGCAGGTTACATTAAGGCTTCTGCCTTCCTAATCTCTTGATGTTCTGAGTTAGCCACAATTATCCACAAATATTCTGAATTAAACACAATTAGAACTTGATTTTTCTTAGGAAACACTGACTTAACTAGGATTCTTGCTGCGCTAATAATGTACTGGACTGTGGGCTCCCTTCTCTGGCCTGATCCTTTTTACTGGGCAGAAGCAATTAGATGGCACATAGGAGCAGTTTTTGTCCATGCAGGATATGTATTGCTCTTTATTTTTAGACTTGCACTTTGTAGTGTGATGTTCCACATCTGGTAGCAGCAAGAAAGCCTCCTGCTGTGTATGTACTGATCTTGATGGTAAAACAATTATGCAGACACGAAAGAGCAGGGTCATTCTCCAGCGAAGCACGTAGCTATTTCGAAAGGGGCAAGTATTGTTTTCTTGAGATAAGATTCACCACAGATGAAAAGGTATTAAGTATAGCTCAGGAAAAAGAAAGAAAAAAAAGAAAACAAGGTTTTGAGAACTTCTGGCTCGTACTTGCTAACTTTTCTGGAATATATAATCTAGGGGTACGGTCTTCTGCTGTAACACACTCTCTGATCTCCTTTTACTTTCAGAAGAAGAATGTTTTCCTGATAAAAACAGCAAAGCAGCTCCCATCGCGGTGGGCCTGAGTATCCTGGGATTGTTTGTCATTGCGTTTGCCACATTTCTCATTTCCAGAAGAAAGCCGCATAGAGGATACGAACGTATCTGAGGTGCCCTTGTACTTCCAAATGTGTGTAGCCAGAAGAGAAGTCACAGGGGTTTTAGCTTCTACCTGGCCATCTCATTGCCCTGAAGCCATACTTTTAAGTGGGATGACACCATGTGTTTAAAGATAATGAATATTTCTGGAAGCGATTTCTGTAAGGTGGGAAGGAGAGAACTCACACCATCTACTTTAGCCTATTCTTAAGATTTAATTTAGATGTAGTCCAGAGGACCAAAGTGAGGGGCCTAAATTCTTTATATTACCACCAAAGGAGGCAATTCAGATTGCCTAAAACCAGCTTAAAGCAGGCAGTATCACTGTCCCCCAGAAAATCCATCAGGTTTCTTAAAGATGGCGTTTAGATTTATTAAAATAGATGAGTCCAGCGATACGACCTCCAAGTGAATAAACCAGAGGTCCACAGCTGCAGACATCCCTGTTAAATGAGAGCTCAGTGAAAGCCTCGTGGGAACATTGTGTACACTGGAGTCTCAGGGCAAGCGTACGTGTGACTTCCATTCATAAGCAGGTTCGCACCCGTCCTGTAAATATCAGGGTTACATTTCGTAAGTTCTTGTTTTTTCCTACTAAGCCCTTAAGAA